TTGCAAAGCAGCCATCTGTGTATTTCCATAATCTCAGCATGTCTGTGCCAATGTGCTCGTTAGCGTCAAACAATGTTTCTAGGTGGTGGTGGTGGTGGTGGTGGTGGTAAGGGCCCAAAATGAGCGATTTCGTATTAATGTGCTTGTCAATGTATTGTTGAAGGAGATCTCTGTATAGTCTGACAATCAGACATTGCCAGCTCAACAGTTAATGTGTGGTCTCTGTCAGGCAGATGACTTGCGTTCCGAGTTGTGTGATGGGGAATTTCATTTGACGGTGTCGTGCCTGTTCATGTGTCTCCCATTCGTCTGAATGTTTTCACGTGGACCTGTTTAGTTGCAAGGCGAATCACTGTCAGTGAAATGGTGCATCGAAGTGTCAAATTGCCACTCCTGGTGAGGCATGTTTGTTGCGTTCCTGTACTGTCTCACCAGTGATGCCTCCTCAGCATGACTTGTGCAGCTGGGGCTGGTGCATCGGCCTATGGCCTGACTGTGTGTGAGATTTGCTTTGCGTCTCGGTGAGAAGGAGGAAGTGGGTGCTGTTGCTTCAAGGGACATTTGTGGGAATCTGCTGGCGGTTTCCACCAACATAGTAGGAGTGTTAGATGTCCCGTTGAATGCAGGTGCTTTGAGGTAGCATTTCAGTGGGATGTGAGGGTGATGTGAATCGCTATGCTCACGTAGCTCATGTTTGCCGTTTATTTCCTGCATGCTCTTATCAAAGAGCAATGTGAATGGTGATGGCGAAGAAGTGGTCAACAGGTGGTTTTATGCAATGTGATCCAACCCTCTCAAGAAATTGTTCTCCTTACTTATTGCGTAAAGGTGGCTTTCGCCTTAGTTATTCGGTGGCTATTGGGACGAGGCCTTTTGTGGCTCCTACTGCATGCAATCTGTATGTATTGCGCAGGTTCAGTCGTTGATTTGTGTTTCGACAGCGAATGTATGTGATACCACTTGCATCTTACGTTAGTAGGACCGTGGTAAATGTGACAAGTAGAGTAACAGCCAAGACACCAATTCATGGTGTTGCTGACTGCACCGAATGTCTGGAGACGATGTCACAGACGCCTTCTTTCCAAGAAATGCCCATCCACCCGTTGCAATGATCTCATTAGCTGGCCTGCTGACTACATGCTTGCATCGAATTCCCCTCTTGTTTGGTGTTATGGTTATCTGGTAAAAGAGAAAAGGATGAGCATATTGTACAGAGTTAAACGCATGTCATCACAACCCTTACTCTTTGACCTTTTAGAGATCTCGCTTCGCATTGATTGGCTGCGACCTGTGGTGTCACTCTGATTGGCTTCGACACGTGGCGTCGCTTTGATTGGCTGCCTTGCGCGTAGGACGAATGCAGTCAGTCAGCTAATGGATGAGTTGCTACTACAACAGGCAGGTGGGTAGGTAGGATATTGCCTTAATTTGGAATGTGATTAGGAAATGTTAATTGCATTTAATTAGTGTAGATTGGTGTGCGTGGAGATTGCAATGCTGAAAGGCGGAAAGCTGGAACGAGAGTGTAAAAGTGGGGAGGCATATGCGAATGACTGGAT